ATCATGATTGTGTACAGCAGTAGCCAGTCTAGCACGGTATGATTCAACTTCTGCTTCCAGGCTCTCTTTCTTTTGTTTTTCATTCTCCAGTTTAGACTTTAGCATCGTAATCTCAGCAGTCAGAACATTAAGCTGTCCACTATATCGGAATATTGTTTTTGATAATGTTTCCTCATTCTGCTTTATGGTCTTTTGAAGATTGTCATTCTTTTCCTTTACACTTTCAATGTCTTCACAATATTTTGTTTCCTTTCTCTGGTTCTGATTTTTTATGGTGTCTCTTTCCAGTCTTAGCATGGCGATTTCATCCTGCAACATGTGGTTTTTATGCAACAGATCTTGTATTTTCTCACGACTATCAGAAAGCTAAGTAAAACAAAGGACATTTTCAGATCGCATTCAATAAAATGACATTATCATGCTTTTCTTTGAAATTAAAGCACAATCTATGTTTAAACAACGAAAAGGTTACAGGAGGTGCCAGGGTGGCTCAGTTGGTTAAGTGTCTGACTCTTGATTTTGGCTCAGGGAATGATCTCACATTCTGTGGGTTCAAGCCCCACATCAGGCTCTGTGCTGACAGTCAGGAGCCTGCTCAGGATTCTCGCTCTCCCTCTCCCTGCCCCTCCTCTGCTTGCGTTCTCTCTCTCTCTCTAATGAATAAAGAAACATAGAAAGAAGAAAGAAAGAAAGAAAGAAAGAAAGAAAGAAAGAAAGAAAGATTACAGTAAGTGAATATCCAACTGGAAAAAAATGAAGCTGGCTCCAAATCTCAAATTTTATACAAGCATAAGTTCCCAAAAGTTCAGAACTTTAACTGAAGATAATGAAGGCATGAAAGTAAAAAAGAATTCGTGAGAAGTTTTCAGAATCTCAGAATTGGAAAAGCCTTTCTCTGATTTACAACAAACCAGAAGGCCTGAAATAAAAGATTAATAACTCTGACTACACTTAAAAATTGAGTTTACAGTAGATATCAAAAACACAGCTACCCCACAGTAAAATCGTCAGCTCTGTATCTACTTGGACAGTTTAAATTTCCTAAAATGCTTTTCTTTCCGAGAATATTTCATAGATATCTACTTTGCTAACATTTCTATAGTCAGTTATAAGAATAGATCTATTGATAACTGAGAAATCTAGGCAATGCATTATAATATAAACACTTCTCCATATATCAAAGAACTCATTTGGTTATCACAATTCTAGAATGGAGACATTAAAACGGTGAGCTGCAGGACTCTCCCCAGGTCTTCTCACTCCACAACTAGTGCTCTTGCACCAACCACTGCTACTTCTCTAGTGTAAATACACAAATATGAAAGAAGTCTTGGATTTCAAACTGCTGATAGGAAATAAGGTGAAATTTATACATCTCTTAGAAAATCATGAAATTACTGCTGCAATACCTTGTATTTCCTCTTCATGTTGAAAATAGTAATAAATATAAAAGAGGGGAAAGACACTCCACTATTTTATTAGGAATAAAATACCTATCAATAAATTGTCATTAAGTGTATACCGTAGCATACCACTGTTTTCAAAAGTTCCTTGTAATGAAAGAGGATGCTACTTGAAGCAAACTGTTACTTTTCTCAAAAGTAGGAGACTTGATACCGAAAATATGATCTGGGAACTGGCTATACTCGTCCTCCTGTCCATTAGCAGAAGTGTTCAACTGATCTATTAATATATCAAGGCAGTGAAGTAACTGTTCAAAACCAAAACACATGTTGCTAGTAGCAATAGTTTTGAGATTAGGGAAAGCTCATCGATTCCTACAGAAAGTAATACAAGCCTCTCCTTTGGATGAGGACATTATGAATGTCACTAGTTGTTGCAGACAAATGCATTTAATCAAGAATATTATTTTATCCAATGAAACAAAAATGCCACCGTCCCCCATGCCCCTCCCCAAAAATATATGTGCTCTTAAAACCCTCTATAGTTTCCGTGATGTACAGTGTTGGGTTTTTAAAATTTATATATACAGACATGGAGAAGAAGTAAAAATAATTAAAAAATAGAATGTATACAAATACATACACACATGTACTTCAAAATAACTAAAGAAGATATTTCAGAATTCGTTTTCTTATGAGCCATTTCTAGCACCTTTTGCTTGTAAAAGTGATTGTTTACACTTCCATCTTGTAATACTCTGGCCTTCTGTTCTGGAGAAAGTTGCCACTGTCACTGCACTTTTCTACAACCTGGAGATACATTTCATCACGATTTTGGTCTCATACCGTTAAAAAAAAAATTCAAAAGCTGAAGAGGAAAGCTTTAAACAAATGTTCCAAGGAACATGATCCCATGTTTTAATTTATTTTAAACCTAAATAATATATATTGAATCAAAGGGATACCATAAAATATATGTATAATACACTATATAGTATTGATGGAAATATACAATTTTTTCTCAAAAAGTAATTTACCTGATTCAAATTATCTTTTGCGGCCTTCAATTCCATGTTTTGTGTTCTAAGAGCGAGTTCAAATTCTTGTTTTGTTTCAACTTCTTTCTGATATTGGTCTTCTATTCTTCTTAACTTCTCCCTAATTTTTTCATACAACATATCAGCATTTCTTCTTTTTTCTTCCTCTTGTTTTAAAGTAAATCTGCAATTTAATGTGCTTATTTTAAAATTTGTTTTGTTAGAAATAAAAAGTTCCTCTTATGATCTGGTTCCACATATGTTGGCTTACTGTCCAAATGAAATTTCTATGTTCTCAAGTTTTTTGTTTTTTGTTTTTCTTTCTAGGGCTCATGTTTTTAATTTGTCACTTCAATCTCTTCCAAAACATATATACCGTTGAAAAGAAGCAAGGACAAAGCGTTATGCAACTTAGTTACTTTTAGTCAGTAATAACTCTGGTAGATGTTGTAGGAAAGAAGTTTGAAATTATTCAAGAAAGTGAGAGTTGAAAATTACCCCTTTTCCCACAGGTATAATTATTCCTCCACAGGACAGATAATTCAGTTACTCATTAAAAAGAGAAGTTGCTGTTTAGAAACAAGTTTATCAATTCACTGGAAATACAATTTCCACTCGACGAAACATTACAGGTACCTCCCAAAATGATGTGCAGTGTAAGAGAGCATCTGCGGATGTTGTTTACACAACATACACGTGCAGATTACTGTCATCCAAGACTAGACTAGCAAGTCTAATATCTGTTGCCCTATACTTTTTGTTTCTTCTTCCACAACACTTGCAACTTACCTTGTTGATGATTACCTACTTTATGAATCACTTAAAAATCCCTTCTAGAACAACACAGGATACATATCAATTAAGTACACAATAGAGAGTAATATAAGCTTTCAGCATACACTTTTGAATTAATTTTATCTACCTATGACAGAGATGTTGGAAAAACTTATCAGCAATCACTTTCCGTATCACTTTTTTAAAAAATGTTTATTCATTTTTGAGAGAGAAAGGGAGAGCCCATGCAAACAAAGGAGGGGCAGAGAGAGAGAGAGAGAGGGAGACAGAAAATCCGAAGTGGGCTCTGCACTGACAGAAGAGACCTCAATGCAGGGCTCGAACTCACGAACCCTGAGATCATGACCTGAGCCAAAGTCAGACGCTTGAATGACGGAGCCACCCAGGCACCCCCATTTTCCTTTGTTTAAATTTTTTATTGAGGGAGAGATGACACAAGTGAACGAGGGCAGAGAGAGAGAAAGAGAGACAGAATCCCACGAGGGGCAGAGAGCAAGGGAGAGACAGAGAGAGAGAGAAGAGGGGCTCACCCGAAGTGGGGCTCGTGCTCACCCAAAGCAGGGCTTGAGCTCACCCAAAGCCGGGCTCAAACTCACGAGATCATCCCCTGAGCCGAAGCCAGATGCTTAACCAACTGAGCCACCCAGGCACCCCCACTTTACCTTTTAACCCCTGCATGTGAAGAATCAAATGGAATCAATTTGGGGGAATTTTACTGTCTTGAGAAAAATGACCATTTTATACTCTGTTGGTAGGTACAGAAATTAATATAAGCTTTCCTGAGAGCAATTTAAAAATATGGATCAAAGACCTTTTTTAAATTTTTTATACTTTAACCAAACTATATTATATTGAAGAATTTATTGCAAGTAACCAGAAATGTAGGAACAGATTTATATAAAAGACATTCTTGACAGCACTAATTAAAATACAGAAAGATGAAAAACAAGCAGAATTCAATCTGTTAAATAATGATGTTTCTTGGACTATGGTGGACTTTTCCATGGCCATTAAAATTGCGATTTGGAATAGACATTAAATTATTAGAAGTATTCACTGTTAAGAACGTGCTGTGTTATTTCCAAGAATCTCACACTTCACAACACTAAAGAAGTTTTCTTTCCTGGAAAATCCTATAACGTTACAAAACTGCCCCTACACATCTGTCATACAAAAGTAAAGAGTTCAAATATTTCTTTAAAACCGAGATGCTATACCTCAAACTGCATACTTCATGTTCCCATTCCACTTTTTGATGCTCTAACCATGATGTCACGTCTTTGGCTTCTTGTAGCTCGTTTTGTAGTGCACTAACCGTTTTTTCCATTTTTTTAATTTTTCCCGTAAGTCGTTTACAGTGATTTTTGTTAAGTTTCCTTAATCTTTCATAAGAAACAAGTATATTTTGGATTTTTAAGAAGCCAGCAGAATCTGCATCAGAGAAGAAACAGAAACAGAAATAAAATATATGAGTACTTCTTGCATATACAGGACGGTGCATCTTCAATTCACTCATTCACACATCGAATAAATATATACCTTCAATGTAAGACATTATACTCAGCTCTACAGATACACTAGAGAAGACCCCTGGTTCGCGATTAGCTTAAAGTTTGGTGAAGGAGAAAGACAACTCAAATGATAAGTCTAAATTCAGATAGTTCCTATCAGAAAACAGAGTTCTGTGATCATAACTTGATCCAGATTGGGCCCAAGAAAGATAGATTTCCCTGAGGAAGAGGTAACTCTACTGAGGAGTGAAGGATGAGCAGGAGGCAACTAAGCAAAGGAGGAAGACAAGCACTCTCAACAGTCTAGAGCATGTGCCGAAGTTCCACTGTAACCTGCTTCTGGCCAACATGGAGTAACACGTACTGATTGATCTTCCTACCTGAAGCAGGCAAAACCAAAACAGACAAATTACAATTTTAACATGATTTTCAAGACACAGAACTTCAGACAATGAAGGACAATGATCCCTGAAAACAAAACACGTTAGCCTAACAC